CATCCATTTAGCAGTTTTGAACAAAAAGGAAAATAGAAGAGCATTCTCAGTAATTTAACGATTTTTCAACTTTTTCAAAGATCGAGGCTCTTTTTGAACCACTTATATTATTTCAATGCTTTAATTTTGGATGCACACGCTAGACCACCTTTAAGAAAAATTGTAGGTGTCGTTTTCGAGAAAAGGGCGTCTCAAAAGACCCACTAACGGAAAATACTAGATTTCGGTGTACCATAATTTCTTTCCTAACAATCGAATTCGTATTATTTGGATATCATATAATAGTCCATTAATGGGACTATCTAACAATATTTTAGTTGTTTTCATCCGCTGACATCTGACGCAAAAATCAAGTTTTTCGCAAGAACACCAAAAGCATCCTTTTTTGGCGTTTTTTTTTTCTCAAAATATCGGACACTATTTCGATTACTTCCGGTTTACGGATCATTGTCGGAATAGTTGTATTCAAAGGCTTGAGCACATGACTTCATGTTCAAGAAGTTTCATAAACATCGATTGAGCCGTTTTTTTTTTTTTAAAAAATGTTTTTAAAATTGGCAGAATTTTTAAAAATTCGAACAATAAATGGCGATAACACTGAATGAAATTTATATTGCTGGAATCGGGCTGGCTTCAGGTATCCAAAAATGTAGGTCAGGTTTGAAAATTTTAAAAAATAACAAAAATTGGACGCAACAACTTTTCGGACGTAAATAGTCAGCGACGAAATTTCGAAATTGTCAACTGCTATCTATTAGACCTTGTGGCAAGCTATCCAAAAATGTAATGATTTTTGAAATAGCTAAAGAAACTACGTCCGACTTCCGGTTCTCGACCATTTGGGCACTTCCGTTCTCGGTAGAACTTTCGAAACTGTTTTAATCAGTAATGGTGGCATATATCTATCGAGAGTTTGTAACTGATATAGGGGTCACGGTGGCTAAGTGTGTAAAACGCTGGCTCGCTAGTCTGGAGGTCGGCGTGGTTCCCCCTTAGTAGTTACCCAAGGCGCAGCAGCTAACACAAAAATCCCAACCACGGATCATTTAAAAATACAAGTTGTAATTTAAACTTAACATTGATAGTCGAGTGCATAGTCCCAAATTTATGCACATAACTAGTTATCGCGTTCAATATCTGTTTTATTTTCGGACGATAAGCGGATTTCCCCATAATCGCTTTAATCACCTCATTACCTATAACATTTCTTGTATCATGACATTTTCTTCAATTAAATATGAGAAAGAAAGTGGTTTATAAATCAGTATTTGTGCACCTAAAAAGATATTACATGTATAAGAAACATCCACTGAATCCCTCGCATTAGCAGCTTCCAAATGGTTTTTGGCTATTATCTATAGAGTGACGTAAAGAGATGACTTCTTGTCACAGAACGCAATCTAGTATTGATTTTTGATTATCTCTCTAAGAGTGTTGAAGATAATGTCTATAATATTGAACAGTTTGTATCAAATATTAATATGATAACATAATAATACATAGCTGACATAAATGTCAAGATAACGTACATATTATCTTCATTTTATGATCAATATTAACTCACATCTCTGAACGCAAACTGTAGGATACTGTCCGGCGCCATATTTATTTATTAATCATCCCATCTTAAAGATGCATTATATAAAAGCTAAATCTGCCTATTTTTATTTTGGCTTCAAATGTTATATAAATTATTATTTAGACATCTGTTCACATGACAAACCTATAACAACTCCCAAGATCACCGGATGGCGCGGATGTAATCGGATTAAAATACGATCGCCATTTAAAGGGGAATTAGGTAAGATTAGATAAAGTTAAGAAATAGTTAATGAAAACAGAATATGCTGAAAATTTCAGTCGAATTGCTTTACTCTGAACCTAGATATTAGCGCGATGCAATTTTAAGCTAGCCTCGATCGTCATTAATAACGTTGGTACGATGATAAACAAAGTCTCGATTATGCGTTTTTACGTTAAATTATCCACCACAAAATGTATTCAAATCCACTAAATATCGCAGGCTAGCGATGACATCGAGGGTTGTTTATGTTCTGGATAAGATAATTACTTAATAATTAATAATTTAGATAACAATATATAATAGTGAGAACTGCTAGTTCGCCCTTTATGTAATCTCCCATAATGGCCCTTTAAGCATAATAAGAAAGTGTTCCCTTTTACCAATGTTAACGGTTGGGGGGGGGGGGGGTAGTTACTGAGTCCAACCTCGTGGGTTTTCTCTGGGTCCTCCGGTTTCCTCCTACTGCTAAAGACCCCTACGCGCAAGCAAATTATTGAGAAAAAAAGAACCATATGTAAGTCCCCCCCCCCCCTCTCTCTCTCTCTAACGCAAATCGTTGAGTTATTTTCCCGTTTACCGTTTGACAGTCTTTTTGTTTATTATTACCCGTTTTGTACATACCACAGAGGGGGCTGTACCTCATCGGCAATGGTGAGATTTGCCATCCAGATCATGTTGCTATTGCAGGTGTTTTTTAAAATTAAACTTCAAAGTCGAGGATATTTTCAATGATAGCAAGAATTTGTCTACGTTGACATATTTTACTAGCTAAGGCACTACCGCACGATATAAATATTATGAATATCTCCTATTGATTTACCATGTTAAAGGAGCTAAACCTGTAACTCGATATTAACCATATTGATGGTTTAACTAATCGTGAAAATATGTGATCCTAATATCCACAATGAATATTTTTTTTAAATCTCTACACGACCCGTGTATTCTATGAACATAATGGCCTCGAGCGTCATTTGTTATGACCAAAGAAAAACATTCTAGAAGACAATGCGGAAGTAATTAAAATGGCTAATTCACAACCGAAAAACATAAAAAGAAATGTACAATGTACTAAGCAGACGCAAATGACTACCGTTCAATTCGGGCGGTTCACATATTTCACCGCATATAATTGATGAGAAATTACAATAAAAAACTGGATGTGGTTCACTTTATATACACTATTATTACATTAATTTGTGCTATTCGCCCTCTTATTGGATTTCAAAATATTATCTCTCTCAAAATTCTTGGGAACACTAATTAGTATAATTAACTTGAAATTAATTATGCTACCAACTGATGTACCTACACGTGACGGTCCACGGCGAACGGCACCGTGGACGAGCCTCCCTTTGGAAAATAGAGTTTGCACCTGAGGGGAGGAACTATGAAAATTTTAATTTTGAGGCTGAATTTGTGATATTGGCGTATTATGTTATTTTCATATGAACATTATGAACACTTGAAGGAAGGAATACGACTTTAGCGTACCTAATTTATGAGAAAAACGAAAAGTTCCGAATCGGGTTATAGTGCGACTTGTTCGAATTTTGAAGATTATCACGCCTGGTGCGGGCTTGAATAATTAATCTCATCCCCATCGTGAATTTGACCTGGAAAATTTACTACAATCTCCAGTTGCCTATCTTACGGTAGATTTCGCCGTGGGCTGCCCACCAATCTCGGCATTATGGGCGCCCCTCCGGAATGAGACACCCAATCAATCATGCCGTTTTAGCCGCCCCATTGATCAAGTCGTGGGCGCCCAACAAATCTCACTCGTCATTATGCATTATCTGACAATCATATATTGTTACTATAAAGCGCCCCACCAAACATGTCATTATGCGCGCCCCTCCAGGATAAGGAACTCCACAGGTCACGCCGTTTTGGGCGCCCCATCAATCAAGTTGTGGTATTAATCGTGTGATTCATCATGAGGCGCATCTCCATTTGGGGGGTGCCTCATATATAACGACATGATTGCGAGGCATTGGTTGGGCGCCCCGTCAATCTCGTCGTAGGCGTCCAACCAATGTCACTCGGCTTTATGGGGCGCCCATGCTGATTTAGGCACGTTGTTCGTTGGCTTCGTATTGCGTCCAATGGAAAGGGCGTCAATGGACGCCGATTTTTTTCCGGTGGGGCGGGGGGAATATTAGCAAAACATTTTCCGCTCATTACGCTGATCTTGCAGGAACATTTTCTAACGCCCCCGTCAGACCTGGGTGGCGTCCTTACTGCGCTGCTGCGACCGTACGGCGACCAGATAATGCACAGCAAGGTTGTCGGCAAACGTGAGCACAACGCCAGAAATGTCCCAAAAAATTACAAACTAGAAAAAAAGTCGCGTTCTTACCGCGATCTGTGCAAAATACGGCGTTCTCACATGGCGTTCTCTGCGTTTATGGCGTTTCTATTGAAATCTATTAGCTTGGCAACGGCGATCATCGGCAAACCCGCGAGACTCTAACCACGCTCATGGGGTTCTTACCACACGGTTTTTATACCCCCGTCAGACCTGGGTGGCATCCTTAATGAGCTGCTGCGACCGTACGGCGACCAGAATATGCACATGGTCGCCGCCAAACGTGAACACAACGCTAGAAAATTTCTCTTAAAATTACAAGCTTGAAAAAAGCCGCATTCTCACAGTTTTCTATAAGGTCTGATCGCGGAACCGTGCTCAAAACAAACGCGGTGACCACAGCACGATATCTGGCGTTTCCACCACGCTTATGGCGATCTTGACGCACTCTGAGACGGGGGTATTACTACCTCATCCCCACAAAATATATCATACATTATACAACTCATTATACACTTTCATAATCCGATGGATAATCCCCCCCCCCCGAACCTTGTTGATCAGGACGCGTAGAGTCCATTTTTGCCGTCTTGTTATAGAAGTTCCAAATATAAATTATGTTTTCGACAAAAAACATTCAAAAACAGGCCACAACAGCGCATGTTCTGCAAAAAGATGCATAGTTTGAGATATTCGACATCTAATTATCTAATTCAGAAAATTACCTAATTATCTCAAAATGCACAAACCTGTCGATGCTCCAGTATGCAGAAATTGGCTCTATATAGTCGGTGGTCGTAGTTGCATCATATTCTCTATCATGGTTGTCATCTTTTCAACCACAGTTTGACATTGAATTTATTTATATATTTCGACTCATTTTAGACTTATTCGGACCGCCTGCAAATGAAGTTCCCTGGAATGAAAGGCTGGTTATTGACAGTATTGTTGATTTGTATAGGATGGTCCTATATCGTCACGGCAGCTAGCGATGTTTCCAATGGCGCAGAAGCCGAGCCCCCAACACCGGAAGCGGAACAGAACAATGGCAGTAAGAATTCTAATAACTAATTTAATTCAAACTATAATTATACGGGGGTGGGGGGGGGCTGGGTAGCTCTGGGCACTCGGACCAATTGGTTTCATTGAGCTCCCGTCACCGTGAAAACTGCGTGACATGTTCTATCTATCAGTAATATCCACCTAAACTCTAGCCGGAGGCACATGAGTCCGACTCCATGACAAGCCCCTCACTATTCATGGATTTGTTTTTAAAAAGCAACCCGATAAAATATTTGCCCTAAGATATTGCTGGTGACATTTTACCTCAACCCACATAATACGGATATTCATGTAAATAAATGCTAGGTGTTAGAATAAGAGTACAAATTATGCCAAGTCGTGATTGTCAGAGAATGCCAAGTCTTAGTTACACGAAGTTCAGAGTACCTAGATTCTATGACAAAATTGAACCCACGATAGTTAACCCGGTATCTTGTCATGGCTGATGGCTACCAAACCGGAAGATGATCATTGAAACAAGGTTCTAGTTTAGATTGCGATTTGATTTTGTTTATTAAGTTACTCTAATGGAAATGGGCGAGTGTCGATAGACTGGTAATACAATATGCCTATGGAAGCGAACGTACAAATACTTTTACCAGAAAAATTAACTTTTTAAATTGTATTATGTTGTTTTTTTTCAGCTCAAGCTCCAGTTGTCGAACCGTCCCCAGAGCCAGAGTCCACGGGTAGCCCTGATGGAGGCGCCGGCTCTCTTCTTCCCGTCAGTTTATTATTAGTTATCTCTATAGCTACACTCATCCAACTGCTTCTGTAAATTAATGTAAGGTTGAATTAGCTTTCGTCCAGTTGATCGCTCACACACATGGTCCAAAAATTATCTTGTCTAACCTCTCGGCATCTTTTAGATAAATATTTTATCTTCTTTGCAGAAGTGTTCATATTGTAAAAGCTCATTTTTTATGCATTTAAAATAATACTATTTACTAATTAAAAACATCCCACGCTTGGCCACATAAAATGATTCATGGCACTTAATGTTTTGTATTGTAAGTACGAGTATATCAATTTGATGTGTATGTGCCTTCAACGCCATCTTTGTAGAGGAAATAAAAACCCAGTAGTTTGCTCAAAGCATCGGATTCAGTGTTGTAGGAATTGTAGCTCTATGTATAGATTATATCATATCTATCATTATTTGAATTGTTTCCTGTATTGTAATTTTATTCCAAATTAATTATTTAATTTATTCATCTAATAGAATCTCAATATTTTTTTCCGCCTTTTATTTATTTGTAGGTGTAATGTTTTCTTTTTTATAAAATAAACTGATTTAAACATCATAAATACCATGTTCACCAATGTGTACATAAAAAAACTATGGGTAAATTATAATATTGTAAAAGTTGAATCTATAATTGGAATATCATGGTTCAATTCCGCTAATTATAAAGATATGACGAATTGAAAATTCCACCGATCAATACTGCTCCATAAGTAGCAAGATGGTCGCCATCAGTATTTGCCGCTGATGGGGGTGGGGGGTGGGGGGGTCACGAGTGTTAACGTATGTTGTAGGTCTGTTCTAGACATATTATTACTATGCATTACGAAGAAAAATCATCAATCTTTGCTAAGGGATTTGAGAGAAATAGTTACGTTTCTTCTCTTCTGAACACAATGAATAAAACGAAATGGGCTTAAACGTCCTACTTTTCTGCTCCATCCGGGATAATGAAAACGGACATACGCCATGCAGAGTGCTATGAGGGACATTTTTCAGGACATCGCTGTTACGGCCTACTCTTATTTCGAATTCCAACTGTCATTTTTTTTTTACGACAATGTGTACACGAGACCTTGGGGCCAGACGCCGCTCCTGGTCAGAATCACACATAGATGCATATTAGTTTAACCGTTTCCATAATGCACCGCAAAACGAAGCCCCGTACACCAATACAAGCAAATATGGATTAGCTAACGTGATCACGTGTCCTGAGCACCGTCTTCAAAACAAATATAAGATAGGCCTACCAATGCAGTACAGACACAAAAGTAAAAGGAAACGTAAATGAAATCACCGAGACCTGGGCCCAATTGTTCAAAGCTCCGTTAACTTATAACGACTCGTTAACATGGTTATCTTTAACATAGAAAAAGTCTGTTGCTAGGACCCCATTAACTGTAACATGTCGTTAACTTGCCGTTATATTTAACGAAGGTGTTGGGCTCCGTTATCTGCTCACGGATGGCAGTAACTGACTGTCAGTCGATGAATACCCTTAGCAAAAGTTCCTATGGATTACCAGCGTAGTTTCTAGATAAAGGGGATGGGGGGGGGGCGGGTTATCACATTTTCTATGGGATGAAATTCTATAGTATTCTACAGAATTTTGGGGCCTCTAAAATATAACGGTCACAAATATTCTACGGTGCAAATATTTCTGTAGTGTAAATCCTATAATTTTTCCTACAGATTTATGCTAAAGTTTATATAGTATTCTATAGGAAAATACTATACTATTCTATAGGAAAATACTATACTATTCTCTAGAAAAAATACCATAGTATTCTCTAGAAAAAATACCATAGTATTCTATAGATTTTTTTAGAGTGTTTTCTGTAGAAAATTCTACAGCTATCTTTTTGTCTTTAATCAAGGTTTGTGAACAGACTGCACAGTCGCCCTACTTTCTGCAGTTTCTTGTTAATACTATTTTCTATGAAGTTGTTATACATGTACATTGAATTAAAAAATTTACAAGCCAACAGTGAGGCTAATGTCCCCCGCCGAAATCCCAAAATAAATAGATGACACATATTAATTAATCGCACATTTATTTTTTTCAAAAGTATCGAGCAATCTAACTACACACTAAGTTTCATCACTCTCTATCAGATAGAATCAAGATTATCTTGTCCCAAAGCATCGACCAATGAAATTGATTAGCTCTGCTTAGCTTTAGCTTGAAATGTTAATCATTGAAATCAGTCAAGACATTCACCTAATGAACATCCACATCAGGTTTAAACATTCTATCTCAATTAAAAGCCGAGTTTTTATGTCCCAAAGTCTTGACCAATCAAATTGCTTATCGCTCCTTAGCCCAGGCAGAAAATTCGCACAATCGAACTTAGTCAAGGTAATGATATAATGAATCTATATTCAGAGTTTCGTCGCTCTCACTTCATTATAACCAAAGTTATCGTACCCCTACAGCATCAACCAATCAGATTGCTTATCTCTGCCTACCGTAAGCAGACAATGTTCATCATCGAACTCCGTCAAGGGATTCGCCTAATGAATGCCTACACCAAGTTTGAACATTCTACCTCAATTAGAAGGAGAGTTATTGTGTTCCAAAGTCTCGACCAATCAAATTGCTTATCGCTCTGCTTACCCTCAGCAGAAAATGTTCATTATCGAACTTAGTCAAGGTATTGATGTAATAAAGCTATACACCAAGTGTCCTCACCCTCACTTAATTAGAACTAAAGTTATCGTGTCCCAGAGCATCAACCAATCAAATTGCTTATCTCTGCTTACCCTAAGCAGAAAATGCTCATCTTCGAACTCTATCAATGGATTCACCTAATAAACACCTACACCAAGTTGGAACATTGTAGCTCAATTAGAAGGAGAGTTATTGTGTTCCAAAATCTTGGCCAATCAAATTGCTTATCGCTCTGCTTACCCTGAGCAGAAAATGCTCATTATCGAACTTAGTCAAGGTACTGATGTAATGAAACTATACACCAAGTTTCATCACTCCCACTTAATTAGAACTAAAGTTATCGTGTCCCAAAGCATCAGCCAATCACCTAATGAACATCCGCATCAGGTTTAAACATTCTACCTCAATTAAAAGCCGAGTTTTTATGTCCCAAAGTCTTGACCAATCAAATTGCTTATCGCTCCTTAGCCCAGGCAGAAAATTCGCACAATCGAACTTAGTCAAGGTAATGATATAATGAATCTATATTCAGAGTTTCGTCGCTCTCACTTCATTATAACCAAAGTTATCGTACCCCTACAGCATCAACCAATCAGATTGCTTATCTCTGCCTACCGTAAGCAGACAATGTTCATCATCGAACTCCGTCAAGGGATTCGCCTAATGAATGCCTACACCAAGTTTGAACATTCTACCTCAATTAGAAGGGGAGTTATTGTGTTCCAAAGTCTCGACCAATTAAATTGCTTATCGCTCTGCTTACCCTCAGCAGAAAATGTTCATTATCGAACTTAGTCAAGGTATTGATGTAATAAAGCTATACACCAAGTGTCCTCACCCTCACTTAATTAGAACTAAAGTTCTAATCAAATTGCTTATCGCTCTGCTTACCCTGAGCAGAAAATGCTCATTATCGAACTTAGTCAAGGTACTGATGTAATGAAACTATACACCAAGTTTCATCACTCCCACTTAATTAGAACTAAAGTTATCGTGTCCCAAAGCATCAGCCAATCAAATTGCTTATCTCCGCTTACCCTTAGCAGAAAATGCTCATCTACGAACTCCATCAAGGTATTGACCTAATAAACACCTACACCAAGTTTGAACATTCTAGTTCAATTAAATAGAGAGTTATTGTGTCCCAAAAGTGTGACGGACAGACAGACGGATGGACAGACGGACGAACCCATTTTAATATTCCCCTGCTTTCTTCGAAAGGCGGGGGACAAAAATTCAGCCAATGACCAAGCAGTCTTCTCTTGGATTAACTTTAATCATTCCGTTAGATAACGGATAATGAAATTGACTTTCCAGCAACAGAATTATAACGGACTGTTAACAAATGACGCGTTAGCAAGATAACGATCTGTTACGAGTTTAACGGATCATTAAAATAACTTGAGAATTTTGAGAAAGAAGATGGTCACATCTGTATTCTAGTACAGTAAAATTAGAAAATGTTGCCAATTCCTCGGCAAATTACCTTGCCAGCTTTTACCTTCATATAAATAATGTTCATAAAAGACCCTTGGGTGTGAATAACTGAATTACGTAGATAGGAGTAACCCAGTTCGATGGAAGTTATTAAAGATAGGGTTGTCAGTAGGACTTTTCTGAAACTCTACTTGCTGCGACAAAAAGTCATGGAGTAGAACAAATCAATCCTATTCCCTCGCAAGCCATATACTCCATATTATGTCAACAAGCTACATACGAATATGGCCTGAAGAATAGTTTATAATTAGGTATATTGATTGTATTATTTTTCACAAAACTACATATTTTTTGTAGAATTACACATTAATCCTTCTTAACTTGGTGTGAGTCATTGGTTTTTGTTGGTAATGTTGACAAAAGAGGAATCAGTCAGAACAAGTATCAGTGGCGGTTGGATTTTGGATGAGCAACAGTGTCTCAGCTTCTGTTGTCACTAAGATAAAATAAAACGCCCTGTTGGCACTATGATCTCGCCATTAGATTACACCTAGCTGGCAGTTTAAACATTTTTTTATTTGCAGTCAATATACAACAGTAAAATAAGTTGAAAATAATTCTTCTCCGCACTCAATAGTTCTTGTTGACACTAATACAACTAATCTAGTTAATCTAATCTCATCAGGATTGTCTATACTGGCACTATAGTATATATTTGGTATGTATTTTTTCAGTGAGAAAGGAAAGTCTTTTGGCACGATAATCTCTTGATAGGCTACATTTGCTGAATGCCCTGTAACAGAAATTTAACAAAACTAATTTTAGTTCCCACTTTTACACCTACGCTTATTTTGATGGAAAACTGGTTATCAATTTGTCGAGTTTAGAAACGAAATCGGGATGCTGAATTAAGAAATTTGTATACAGGAAATCAAATAAAGAGAAAAGAGAAAAGAGAAAATAGTTGGGATAATTCGAATGATGAATTTAGAATAACTAAGAAAAAACCCGGCAAGCAGCATCCTTTAATTTTCATAACTTTCTCTGTCATAATAAACAAATGTGGTGGAAGGTGGGGTGTCTCCTCCTAACGAGTTCTGTGTACGATGTGGGGACAAAGCACTTTATTTTCAGGCAACATTGACATAATTACGGACAAAGTCAGCATAGACCAGGTCCAAGAAGAGGGGTGCTCCGGTGTCCATAAATATCTAATTTTTTTTACTACGGCGTGGCCAGTATTCGTGTCACATAAGCCCTGATCCGTTCCCCGATGCCCTAATTTGGCTATGCAGGGGCAAAGTTAGAAACTCTATTTTTTTTTGCATACGGGTATGGTAGGGGGCCCAAAATGTGTCATGCTCCGGCACATACAAATTCTCTGATATAGATTGGAACACATTTTATCTTTGAATTATCTTATAGGTTTCGTTAAGTTCCCTTTTATTTAAGAAGTCATATTGTACTCCAAAGAAATAGGCTAGGTATCATAAATGAAATCTGGTAAATGTTGAATGAGATAAATAATACGTGTCTCACTCTTTGATTGGTTGTTAACATACTGTCCAATAGCCAATGGATTGATAGGATGGGTTGATAACCAGGACCTGTCGCACATCAGATATGGTCCAACACGATCCCTGTTAGAGCATGATCTGAAAATAAAACGTCTATTGTAGTATAAGCAAATAATCATCCACGATTGTGGCCATTAAAACACTAAAAAACAATAAAAAAAATATGCGCGTGCCAGGAAGGGTTTAATTATGTTCATGTCCTTTGTCTTTAAAATAAAATACAAGTAGACTAATTAGTAATTATTTGACTATTTGTCCAAGGATAGTTGTCATGATAAGCCTAATTGTGATCTAATTCTGTCTTTAGGGTAGACGGGATAAATGCATATAATCACGGCCACAAATCGATTTTATCTCAGTCCAATCACTAAATCCCCTTGAGCCATCTAGAAAATCAAACCTATTGCATGTTATATAATTTCTATGTTTTATATGACAAGTCTAAGACGTTGAGCTACGTGTTGCCGTGGACAAACTTAATTCTCATCAGCATCATCACAGTTTGCTACGCGCAAGGTGACAACTGTTTGGGTTTCGACTGAAGGCCAGAATTTGAAAGAAGGATCTGCGTTTGGTGAACACATCGCTCATTTTGAGACTAGATCCTAAATGTTTCCTCATGGCGGGGTTTATTAGTTTCTATTTACAAAGGGAACCTTATTTCCAAATTTATTATGTAGATCTGTCCAATGACGTAACGCACTGTTCATACCACACACCATACTAAACTTAAGCTGTCTATCTACAACTAGCCCACACACATGTCATATCAAATCAAAGTACCTTTAAAATTGTGCCTCCCTCTCCTGCATACACCACTGAACCCTTTTCCTCCCATCCTCGTATTCCCACCCCACCATGCCTTAAATAATCACGATGGACGTTCTGCTGAAGTCAAAATGGGAGTTGAATTTCAAATATTCTTGTAATGACGAATTGCTTTTTAAGTTTTATTCTTTCTTGACAATGACGCGATGCCAATCATCATTTAAATGAGAGAACCGTCAAAGAAAGAAGCAAGGAGTGACCCGATTTGTATAGTATTAACCTCCTTCATACTTTAAGGGATTAAAATGAATTATTCTCTGTGACCCACAGGTCGTGCCCTACACTCAGAAAAAATGCAGATTCTTAATCAAATCCAAAAGTCATGAATTCATAATTAGACCTGAATTCTTTCCCGAAAAGAAACAAGCCAACAGTGAGGCTGATGTCTCCCGCCGAAATCCTAAAATTTAAAGATGACAAATATTAATTACAGATTTTTCTTTTTCAAAAGTATCAAACTGATTATCTATACATAGTCCAAGCATAAAATGTTCACGATCAAACTCCATCAGTTAGAATCAAAGTTATTTTATTCCAAAGCATCGACATGTAAATCATTGAACTCGCCCAAGACATTCACCCAATGAACATTAAGTTTAAACATTCTACCACAATTCTTGACCAATCAAATTGCTTATCGCTACTTAGCCTAAGCAGAAAATTCTCATGATCGCACGTTGTCAAGGTATTGATATAATGAATCTATACTTCGAGTTTCACAGCTCTCATCAATGAGAACTAACGTTATCAAGTTACAAAGTTTCCGCTTCGTGGAAAATGCGCATTATCGAACTATTGAACATTCTACCTCAATTAGAAGGAGCGTTATTTTGTTCCAAAGTTTCGACCAATCAGATTGAAGTCTCTTCATCAAACTTTATTAAGGTATTGATGCAATGAAACTATACACAAAGTTTCACAACTGTCACTCAAAGTTGTCGAGCTCCAAAGTCTCGACCAGTCAAATTGCTTATTGCTCTGCTTACCCGAAAATGCTCATTATCTTACTTAGTCAAGGTATTAAGTGATGAAACTATACACCAGGTTTCATCACTCTCACTTTATTAGAACCAAAGTTATCGTGTCCCAAAGCATCAACCAATCAAATTGCTTATCTCTGCTTGCCATAAGCAGAAAGAGCTCATTTTTGAACTCCATCAAGGCTTGTTATTGTGTTCCAAAGTCTCAACCAATCAAATTGCTTATCGTTCTGCTTACACTGAGCAGAAAACGCTCATTATCGAACTTTGTCCAGGTATTGAGGTAATGAAACTATACACCAAGTTTCATCACTTTCACTTAAAACTAAGGTTATCTTGTCCCAATTCATCAACCAATCAAATTTCTTATGTCTGATTAACCTAAGTAGAAAATGCTCATCTTTGAACCTCGTCAAGGCATTCACCTAAGGAACGTCAACACAAGTTTGGACATTCTAGCTAAATTAGAAGTTATCATGTCTAAAAAAGAAAAAGTGTGAGGGGCAGACAGACGGACAGGCCGAGTTTAATAGTCCCAGCTTTCCTCGAAAGGCGGGGGACAAGAAGATGTTTCAAAATTGTCGACCACTAAATCTAGAGCAAAACAACCCAATTTCAGATATTATCAGTTAAGAACGATGAGATTGAGAGAAATCGTGGGCTTTCTGTACTGATCAGATTATACACAGTCACAAAATATGTGCCTGAACTATAATAGCAATCATACTATAACAAATTATGCTAATGTAGGCCATTCTTCCCTACAACAATAAACAAAAATGTGATGTATGGGCACTTGATCCTTCTATTATATTATGAGATCGGTTTTATATTTAATCTATATAATAATTTCATGATTACCTATATAGGTACTTAGAGATTCCTTTGTCATTGCCATCTATCAGTAAGCCATCTAAACATCGAAAGATAAAGGGATTATTTATACTTTGTAGTAATATTGGCTCATAATTGTAATACAAGGTCCCTGAAACGGCAAGGAAAGCATGCATGAGAAAGTAATTTATAATATTGCGATTATCATACTAAAACATTATCATCCGAATGTCGTGTCTCCAAGATCTGTCTTTCGGTAGCCCCTTATTATAAATATGAATCCCCCCCCCCCCCCCAGATAGTGTATCCCCGGCCATTTTGAATAATAGTTACACACGGTACCCCTCACCCAAGCCTATAAACTTATTTCACTGTATTGGAATTCTCTTTTCGTCGAAAGCCCACACAAGCTTTGTAAAACTGAATGATGGGTGAGGGCGTTAACCCTTTTTCAGAATGTCCATATAGACCATATAATTGTTTAATCGGTTGGACAATGGGCATATTACCTGGATACATAGCCACAACAGTATGAACAGGAACCATCCCGGAGGTAACGAATACACCGGTTCCACCATGAGCCAGACCACTAACTTTTCTGCCTATAGTAAACCCCACAACATCCGACATAACGTATAGGTTTCTTACAGAAATCGTTTTTTTGTCCGTATATAATAATCTTGAACCATCTTGTCCATTGTGAGCTTTTACGTTATATTTCTGATTGTCGCATTTTTCAGAAGCATCAAAGGCTTGAAACAACGTTTCGACGAATTGGAGAGCCTCTATCTTAGGTATAATTTCATCTGAAGATTTTGATGGAACTGCCCGAATTGATCTGCATTAAAATAGATGTGTCTTCATGTAAATAATGAAATAATAATTCAATTCAATAGGATTGGGATTGATGTCTCGTGAACACAATACTTTGGTCATTTGGAGACATTAATTTTTTTCATTTTATTTCTTTGGTTACGTGTGCAGTGTGATAATTATTACATAAACGCTATTGTGTGGATGGGTGGACCTCGGGTTTTCGTCCCATCCAACAAATCGACACATTTTCCTTATCAGCTTGGCAGGCACCACCCCTGAATAAATGAAGGTTGATAAATCGCGAGGGTTCTTCTAGGCCAAGGTTGGGAATCGAACCCGGGATATTCTAGTCGAGCGATCAATCCCCTGGCCTCTCGACTACCACGGACAGTTAAAATACGTAGGGCCTGCATCAATGGTTTGACAGATAATGTGTTCTCAAATTTTACATACAATAAAATTTGAACATCCCTATACTGTATGGTCAAATCACGGCAAATCGTTGATTACTTTTTGTTATCAAATTCCAAACCCCTTTAAAATAATGTTCAAAATATAAGAGAAACTCACTATCGAGTTTAATCTGTGAAGCGCCTGGCTAATATAGACTACACATACTGAAGTCGGTCGACTAACCTGTCTTTCAGATTTAGAGCAATCCATGGAACAAATCTATACTTATACTGTTTCCACTTCTCGATCACCCTTTTAATCATGTTAGCGTATAGTCTATTTAGAAAACATTGTTCTGACCTAATATTGAGTCATTAAAGTATAACATCAAATTGTTCCAATGGGCGCAGACATATTGTTTTTTTCTGACTAGATTGCCCAGACGTTAGATCGAGAAAAGGTGACGAGCTCACAAAATGTACAATTGTGAAGATGCGGGATGTTTTGCATAAAATTGTACAATTCATGCACATTATCTTTTCTTTGTTTGAAGCGTGTTCATGCATTATTTATTTAATTTCAAGTCTGGTCATTTTATTATTCAAAAAAGAAAAAAAAAAAGAAAGAAGAAACTGGTCACCTACTGGAACTATTACCGTTTACATCTAAATACATTTATTGTCTTACTTATAGTACTGACTTATATGCACTTACCAAAAAGAATGGTTGGTGAGTGGAACAAGGTTTTAATTTCTGTGGAATTGTATTTATCATTCCGTTTAACATGGACACAACCGACTTTGTAATAGTTCATTAATCAAAATTCAATTTGGGCTTTGAATATACGTAATGCATGCATTGGAGCAAAACATTTAGACAGGTTGAACCAGCTTTACATTTACTTGCAACATAAACAAACATACATCATTAAGTCGTTGTAATAATTGAAATTGGAAAAAACGTGGAGGTTTGCTAATTAATTATTTTATAGGCATGCAAATAATAAAAGTTAGTATAATTTAAAAAGGCTCGAAACATGGCTACGTTAAATTATGTATACAAGTTTGTATATTAAATCAGCCTATTAGTCCAGGATGAGCAACATGTAAATCTGTTATTTGGACAACAAGTGGTTCACTGTTAAGTGGAAGTTGCCATTGTTGGTCACCGTGTACTGTTGGGAGAGAAACGGTAGCTATAGATCCTGCACTAGACGCTGTTTCGATTCTCCAGGCTTTGGAAGGAGAAGACTTTAAATGAACATCAACTATCTTTGTTGCCCTGTCTGAAGCATCAACAGGTCGCCATCCTAAAAGGTGTGTAGCGACGGGCTTTTTTGCAGAATTATCTCGTAGATCCCCAAACAAGTAAATGTATCCATCCTGATCTTCCTTCACGACCTTTAGAAAATGTTTGTTTCCAATCAAACTAAGCAAGTTCTGAAATGTAAAGAATACCTTCTTCTTAGCAAAGTTGACTTCGGAAGATCCTGTTAAACCACTTCTGCAAAATATGTGCTGGTTCTCATTTGGACATTCTCGCTGGTCCAGGTTGGCATAGAAAAACCAAGTAGCCCTCTCTATACCCCATCTGGCCAGGATCAATAAACCCCGTATTCCATAGAGGCAAGCAGCATCCTCCGATACACATTCACTATATGTACATGTCTGTCCAGCTCCTTCAGAATCCCACCCCCATTCTGTAATCCACACGGGTTTACCAGGCATATTCAAGTCCCGCCAACGAATGAGATTTTTTACACCGTTGAATTCTCCTCGTGTATCTTCTGGGAATGACATGGTTCTTACTCCAGATGGTTGATAAATAAAATTATAATAATGACCATTCACTACGTCAATGTATTGAGCCGCTGGTGGAGTTACCCTTGGTCCGATGTAATTCGCCATTGGAGGACTCTCGCTCGATTTGTCATGAGCCTGGAAGGCACCTGCTAATACGGTCATTTGTGGATCGCCAACTTTCAAGCCCCTGGCCATTCCACCCAATATCTGTGAATAAAACGGCCCTGTGTAATCCCATGGTTCATTGCCAACCTCAGCAGATTTAACCAGCTTGTTTCCCACAGTGGGTCCAAAATGACGGGCGAAATCCAATCCTATATTATAGCTATCTTGATCGGGATTTTTCCAGGCGGAAACTGGAAAGTGATCTTTTCTAAATTGTAGAGTTGCGTCTATGGTTAAATTAGCTTTTCTCCACAACCCATATTCCTTGTCCCAATTTACCCAAGACAACGCACTGGTACCGTGCCCCTGTGCCATTGATGCATAGTTAGCTCTGTCACCTGGTCCTTTTATGTCCCAAGTCAGCATGTGATAATTTCTAGCATGGGAACAAATAGCATCGTACAACGTGGCACCTTCCCCTTGTTTAAAACCAGAACTGTCAACCCGATGACCCCAGCCCCAAATACCATTCACACCAAACATGTATTGTAGTGACCTACTATTTACTTGTGGCTTTGGTGCTGCTCCCCACCGCCCATTTTCATCCCAGGCATCAATTTCCCAAATGAATGACTTCGCCCAGTCTGTATACGTCAATTCGTGTTGCACTGCTACAAATCGAAGCATTCTTGGTGGATTTATTTTATATTCAACGGCATGTACACTTTGGGGGTCTAACTTCTGCAAAACCTCCCAAGTAACACCATCAGAAGACACAAGTAGATTAGATGACACAGCCCCGTTTCCCGGCCAATGACGTACACGTATAGTGCCAACTGTTTTCGACTGACCAAAGTCGACTGCAACTCGATCTTTACAGTTCTTCTGCAGAGCGGCTACCTCTGATAGAGTGATATCAGCTGTGGACGAAATACTAAAGCCAGATATTAGTGATCCTCCAATATCAAATTTCTCTTTTTTGTAGTCATCGCTGGGGTTTAAAGTTTTAATAAGTTTGTGTTGTGAATGGTAAAGGATTTCTAATTGAGTATCTGCCCGAAACACGCCTTTTATCGATAGAAATTTCATCTCTAAAGGGGTAGGCAAGTCCACTTGGAAGTGTGATTGCCCGTTAACAACTTTCACCTCAAACTGCGTCTGAAAATTACCATCGGTAGCTAGATTTATGCCAGATGTTCCGGAACTCGAAGCGCAATGACCTTGACTACAAGAATCCATCAGAATATTCAGCTGTTTCTGAGATACATAATTTTCTGGAAGGCAGCCAGAAGATACCCAGTTTGTGCTGTCCTTGCCATCTACTACCAGATGGGCTAGATTCTGATCCGAAGAAGCATGTACTGATACTCCAGGGAGCTTAGTGTAGGATTGTACTAAACCTGCATCGGGATCCCAACATTTCACCACCAAAATGATAGGTAACAAAGCCAAAACTTGAAACATTGTCTGAAAAAAGAAAATGCAATATGAGCAGCGAATAATAAAAGATACAATCAAGGGCTATAATTCAGGAAGTTACGATCCGATATGCGGGTTATAAACATGTACATGAATTTCAAATTTCATCAAAATCGGATCAAAATTGTGACCTCTAGCGGGTCCACAACCTTAATATACCGTATGTTTACACTATTTGCGTACGAGGGGCTGCCATTTTGCACGGATTGGGCTAATGAAGACGGGCTTAGGGACAGTGTGCTATTAGGGAAATTGTGCCCGGACAGCGGCGCTATGGCCTACTCTTATTTCGAATTCCATGTACAGTTAAGTTGTTCTATTACGTGCACGCCAATGTGTACACGGGACCTCGGGTTTTCGTTCCGTCTGAACGACTAAGCACTGTTGTTGCCAGGACCTCAGTCCTGCACCACTGACAATGGAACTTTCTCGGCCAAAACCGGGACCTAGACAAGAGTTTTGCTTACTGAGCCTTCCGGAAGTATTTTGGAGGCGAATGTAAGGTACCGTTTGGAAAATCTACTATAACTATATATAAAAAATCACCTACCATTAACCCCCACCTAACCTTGGAAACATCCAGGTAAAACTGCTATATCAAAATATAAACAAATCACAGAGCCTGGTTTTCATTGCACAGCCGTTATTTCTCACCTTATCTTGGAGTTCTTATCGTTTACGTGAGAAATTAAAGCCGTTTGTAACTAATGTACGAAAATTAAATGGTAGCTAGGTAGGGTGGATCTGTCGTTCAGATTTAATTAAATTGAAAACCATCCTCTCCTCGAATATATCGGCTAACTTTCCAACCGAAAAAAATGAAATGGGGTTTAACTAGATAACAAACCTTAATCTCTCAACCCTCCGTATATCTCAACGTTCTTAGCTACGTTCTCGTAGCTAGGGTTTAACGTCCTATTGTTCTGCTCCGACTGGGCTAATGAAGACGACCAGAGTGTACCACGAGCGGAATTTTACCCGGAAAGCGGCGCTGTAGTCTACTCTTATTTCGAATTCCAACTGTGAAGGAATCTTTTAAGTGCACTTAAACCCCATTTAATTTCATTTTTAAGTGCACGCCAATGTGTATTCACGGGACTATGGGTTTTCGTCCCATCCGAACGACTATACGTTGCCCCTTGCCAGACTTTATGTCCTGCACCACTGACAACGGGGAACCACGCCGGAAAATCCCGATGAACTTTCTCGGCCAACGCAGGGATCGAACACGGGACCTCCAGGTTAGCGAGCCAACGTCTTACTCACCGAGCCACCTTTCCAACCGATGCGAAACCATGCCGAACTTTTTGAGAAGTGTTTGTGTTTGCAAGCTCTGCATGTCAAGTATCCGTGTTGCATATAGCCCGACATATCTCCAGGTAGCTACTAAAAACGTTGAATCTATTATTTTATTGGGCTTAAATATACCTAACCAATAATTTGCTTATCTGAAACATTATATTACTAGTAATGAGTCGGTTGTTACACTTACAAAGTATGTAAATATTCGCTCGGAGTTATAATGTTTATTTAATTGGAATTTGACAGCTATGTAAAGTGATGATAAAAACGTTGAAAACCATGCAGTTAACCTTGAGGCACATCAAAGCGAGTTCAGCTAGATTGGGTGTACGCGGTGTCGCCCTTGTTTACAGTCGCCTTGTTTACAGTCGCGATGTAGGCGAAACACAGACACACACAAAAATTGGACGTGGCTCTAACCCTGGCGGTTGGGCATGCGCCACAAACAATAGGGATGTTCCTTAGGGCATAAGGAATAATTATGCAAAGTTTCAAGATGATACGTTAAGAAATGTGGCCTGTAGACTACAAATAAATACAAGAAATGGGCGTGGCCCTGTGCCTGGGGGTCGAGCTGCACAAAAAACAATTTGGATCATCCTTAAGGTATAAGGAATAAGTATGAAAAGTTTCAAGATTATCAGTTAAGAATTGCGGCCTGTAGGAGAACCTAACACACACACACACTGGGGCGACGGCAATATACGTTCACATTATAATGGGGACGTATAAAAGCGTTTCAGTGCAGACTAAAAATAGTGTGCATTGTCGGAATGATTGTTCCCACAATTTAAATATAAACCTTACCAGTGCATAATTGTTTATTTTTCAGTTTTAGGAGTAAAGGTTGCCTAACTCTTTAGAGAAAAAAACCCTATATACTACATCTATATACTAAAGCCAAAGGCTAGGCAGCCTTTGAAAACTGTACTCACCGAGGCACATAACCACCTCCATCCATCTCCCAGAAGGAGCGGATTAAGGAACAGGCCACTATAGGCCTGTTATTTTGTGTAAATGGCGGGGTAAATTAAGAAAATCGGTCTGGGCAAAGAAATTTAGAGCCATTTCCAGTCATGTCAGGTTAGATACAAATTTATAATATGCATAGCAGAAAGTCACATGATGTAAAGACTATTAAAAGCTTATTTAAAGGCTTTCCTGAACGTACCCACAATACCCACCCCCCTTCCCCAAAAAATCTTGTATCAAATTAACAATGATCACTTTATTGTGGATCAGGCACACAAGGCGCATGCCCCCGCTATTTTTTGCAGTGGCAAACAATTCTTTACCCCATATATTCTCGCGGGAAAGGAATTAACAGTCAGTTTAGGTTGGAAATCGTAATTTATTCCGAAACGAGTTGGTTGGTTGATTGCCCGTCAGTCCGCCCACCGAGGGCCAGGCTTCGCACTCCCAAGTGGGGGCAGCACGCCCCCCTCTCTGAAAATCCTGGATCTGCCCAAGTGGATGGTTAAATGTCAATGGCAATGATTATTTCTAAATATTACTTTTAATTTTTCTCTGTGAACGGCTCAACTTCATATAAATATTTACTGTGGATTTGAAAAAGAGTGCCAAATAGAAACCATTGCAGTTGGAAAGAAAGGAATGCTCTTTTATGAATGATTTTATTTTCTGCTATCTATTAGAAAAATTATACTTTCAGACAAAGATCAGTTTAAGAGGTCAAACAGAAAGAATCCAGCACTTTCTGGTTAATTGTTTGGTGGGTTGATTTTTCAGAAACGGCAGTCAGTGTGTAAGTTGCTGGCTTACTGTCAAGAGGTCCCAGTGTTGGCTGAGTAAGTTCCCTAGTATTTTCCAGCATGGTATCCCTTTGTCATTGTTACAGGTCAAAGGGCCTGACAAGGAACATCGTCTAGTCATTCAGATGGGATGGGATTAAAAACCTGAGGTCCTGTGTACACCTTGGCATGCACATAAAACAACTGCTGCCAGAATTCAATTGCTATCTGGGAAAAATTTCCTTCCTAGCACACTGCATCTCATGCGTGTCTTCATTAGCTCGGTTGGGGCAGGAAAGTAGGACGTTAAACCCTATTTCATTCATTCATTCATTTTTCAGAAACACAAGAAATAATAAATCAAACATATTTTGATTTATTTTATGGCATTAATAGAACGGGGCCTTTTTCTTTTTCAATGGTGCTAAATGATGAACCGGTGGTTGAGATTCAACACTGGACATACTTAAGGTTGATAAATCTTGAAGCATCAACAAATTTTCACTTTGATCAGTATTTTTATCACAGTTCAGTTTAGATATACTATTAGACTTTCTTAGTTGTAAAGTTTTGTTGGGTACAACTAAATTTGGTTCATAGTTTCTACACTGTTTATTCCTTGTTCCTTTGGTAGATATTTTGAATTTTTCTCTACCAGATGGTGGTTTATCAGTTTTTTTCACTTGATCCATCATTACATTACTAAGCTCACAATTAGAAGAAATGTTTTCTGGGGGTGAGAGTCCTGAATCTTGTCTTTTATCCCCATTCAAAGAGTCATTTTTGCAAAGCGAAATATCTGAACAGCTTTTTTTCAGTTTTGGTTCATTTTTGTTCATTTCTAAAATCTCAAAATTTCTCAGTTCTTTAAATTCTCGTGCATGTATTTTCTTTTCCTCCATTTTATATATCAATTGTTTTAAACTTTCATCTCTCTGCTTCTGCTCTTCTTTCATTTCACTTCTGCACTGAATTTCTCTATCACGTTTTTCTTGTTGTTCAACAACTAACTTGTCCATTAGGTGGAAAAATTCTTCTCCAAATGATGTAAATACCTTTTCACCTATAAAATATAGCCATAAAGAAATGTTTTTAAATAATCAATACACAGTACGTTAAAATTGTGAACATTTTTATCAACTTCTGGGGTTCCATAATCTGTAGGCCTTAACCTGAGAAAAAAAGCCTTATTATCGAACTTAATCAATCCAGGTATTCATGTAATGTAATGAAATTAGACAGAGAAACAGAACAACACATTTTAATAGTCCCCTTGCTTTGTTTGAAATGGGGCGAAAACAAAAACAGAAAAAAGTTATTGCCATCTGATTTAAATCTGATATTGGGAACTGCATCTTAGACATGACACACATATATTTTTATGCTCAAGTTCCTGGCACAAATAGCAGGAAAATGTGGGAAAAACTGAAATGTAGGAATGTGTGGGGGAAACTAATCCTTGCCAGGGAAAGGTAGGGCTACTTGACAATCTGAAATTGTAATATTAACAAAATAATGTAAGTTTGTGATCGTAGTTACCAATACTGCATGTATTATTTACCGAGGTGCAACAAAATATTTAGATGGACAAAGTCACAGGATTTTGTTAATTTTATGATGATCTATGTAAAGAGTGATTCTGTGCATTGTAGATGTTAGTGGAATGTCACTAAAGATAGATAAACCCTTTACATAAAAATCAGTTTTGTTCCCTGAAACTCACCATTTAATTGATTGGCTTGTTCTGGTATAAGCTCTAATTTATTAACAACATTCTGTAGCTAAAATAAATTTGAAGTAATTAAATATCACGGTCTATAGAACATACCCAGTAATTTATTCCATACATTAATAGCTAATAAAGTTTCTGATGAGTAAATGGCAATTTTTAAAAATGATGATAGTAATATACATGTTTATCTTGTAAAAGATAATTAAGTGAGCAAGGAAATAACACCACATTTATCACTAGTTTAAAGGTTTCAGCCAAGCACAATATTACTAATAACCAGAATGTGTGAACCATACCTATACAGGTGCTATTGTCATTTTAATTAAAGACTGTCATTTTTTCTGGGGCTGTCTGTTCTTGAAAACCATTTCGTACTCACCTTTTCTTCATTATTCTTGAATGTTGACAAGAAATCTCGCAAGGCTTTTTCTGATGCAGAAACTTTTAATCCTTCATAATTCTTCAAAGTTTCTAAATATATAGTTTTATAAATGAAATGGGGGGATTTAACTTCGTACTGTTTTGCTCCAACTGGGCTAATGAAGACGGGCATATGCCATAGTGTGCTATGACTGAAATTTTGCCTGGACAGCGGCGCTACGGTCTACTCTTATATCGAATTCCAACTGCCAAGGAATCTTTTACATCCAGTGTGTATGCGGGACCTTGGTTTTTTGTCCCATCCAAATGACTAGACAGCTGTCCTTGTCAGGACCTCTGTCCTGCACCACTGACAAGGAGAAATCACACTGGAATTTATAAATTAAACTTGGTACATAAAAGCAATAATATTGATGAGAAATAAAATAAAATCGAGTTTAATGTCCTACTTTTCTTTTTCTGCATCGAACATGATAATGAAGACAGAATAATGTGATAAGACAAAAGCTAACTTTTTAATATGAAACAGATATTGCAACAGATGGATTCTCCTATATAGAAATTGATACATTTCAGCTTAAAGTAAAGACAAAATTTAATTAACATTTGACCAGTTGACATACCTTTCAATGGTTCCACTACAAGACTGTGAATGGAATTTTCAAAACTCAAATAACCATCTCTATTGAAAGAAAGATATTACATATTTATAAAAGATATAGAATTATATTGCAAAAGCAAATATTTGACCAGAATCAGAACTTTTAAATGTTTAATGTGTTTTTTAAACTTTCAATTACATATTTGCAACTATTTCTGTAACTCACTCACAACTATTTCTGAAACACACAACTATTTCTAGAACAGTTGAGATTTGGTTTCATTTTTGTAAACACTAAAGAATAATAAATATGAAACTTACTTTACAGCAGTAAAAAGTGAATCTATATAGGTTAACTGATGATTATAAATACTCTGATGAAATTTGACTTCATCACGTAATGCTTTCACCTGAAATAACACAAAATTTAAATAATTAAATTGACAGTAAATGGGGAGGGTATGATATGACAACCAGGTGGAATGGGCCTTGCATCCCCCCTACAAATAGGTCATCGTACTTTGAATTTCGGTACTGTTCCTCCCTATATCATGACTCGCTAAATAATCTTACAAGAAGCAGACGCTGGATGACTATTATGGGAGTATAAAAACAGCATATTGCTATAGAAACCATTATTATAATAGCAAAATGTACCTCTCTTTCTAGCATAGTATGACGATAGTTACAAGTTTTTAATAAACCTTCAATACATCGATGGAGTTCAACTGTTTTGGGTTTAGGTAGACTAGGTAACATTGACATAAACTCTTCAATTGTAACCTCTTTTAAAATTGGTCGCTTTAAAGCACTCTAAAATAAAGAAAACTGCAATGTAAACTTTAATTAATGAAAGCAGTTTTAAATATTTCAATATAGAAACAGATGATTTTGGGCAAAGTAATTGTAAAGTGTACGATGGTGTTGTTATGTTCTGCAGAAAGTAATTCAATTTGTAAATAAAAAGATGCAGCTTGTAATACAATTAGTACATAGAAACCAAAAATACATTCCTGTGGCATGTTCTCTGACATGTATTTTTTCTGTGGTTCCTTATTTTGTTTTACTAGTACTACAGTAAACTTAGCATAAGTCGGATTCGTATAAGTCGGATCTTCGCTCAACTTGGATAATTTCGTTTGGCCCCCTTGATCCCGCACATTTTTCTTATTAAATTTCTGCGCTTAAGTCGGATCTTTGGTCAACTCAGATCAAAATGTTCGGTGTTTGATCTAAATCTGGCTTTTTTTCTTCGCCTAAGTCAGATCGGCAGTATGTTCAGAATTTGACTAAGTCAGTTTCGTCCCGATGGTCTAAAACGCGGTTAGGTATTTGATGCACAGAGCCCCAAAATACTTTCTACTATCAATTTGATTCAAATCATGCTATTTGACGTGATACAATAATAGAATTTTCTCCGGAAAATTCGAAACTCACTGTCTGCTGTACGAGACACTTTCAAAGATGGCAACGAAACGGAAGTTATCTACTCGCACCAAAACGGATGTTATCTACTCGCACATACCAACAAAAGCTTGAAATGTGCCTTTGAATCAATTATTATCCGGCTCTTGCAGTTTATTTCTAATCGAGCTAAGATTGAATTTCGGTTCTTCCGCTAACTCGGATCATTGCTTAACTCAGTTAAAATTGGTCAGTCCACTTAGATCCGACTTATGCGAAGTTTACTGTATTAAAAGATAATACACCGTCTCATAATAGATAGATTGGTTTATGATGAAGTTTATAATTGATTATTCCACCCACCTCAAACTACTAACACAGTTTTTAATCTTACGTAACAGGTGCTGTGCTACTGTGTTACTGTATGTGTTAATGCTCAATATTCATTACTATTTGAAAATTCCAAGTCATTATTCAAAATTTAGATTTAATTCAAATGATAAATTTCGATTGTTTTCAGATTTTGAGGAAAGGAGAATCTTCCAAATCAATATATTTAATTTCAGGGAAAAAAACTCATTAAATTCCAATAAGTTCAACCTTAAAAACTATTTTATTTTGAATATTTTACTACTTACCCATGGTGCAGCTGGATACAACAAGGATAAACTGAGTAGATCTGTTGAACAATCTCTACATAGAGTTGATGATTTAACTATATCACTGGTTAATCTTTCTTTAAAACATTTTGCTATGTGATCAGAGGTTATCTTCTTTACAGGGTTATCTGTTTCACATAAAGATTCTCTTAATTTTATTAGTTCTTTATACAACTGACTTAACTTTGACTCAAGTTGCCCCTAAAAAAAGAAGAAAATTTTGTCTGTTTAATAAATTCTTCATAGTACTTCTATACCATTCAATGGGGTTGGAAAGTTAATTTTTGGTGAGTTTACTCAAACAAAGGTTAAGAAAGTTCCAAATATGGAACACTAAACACATCAGTTGCATTATTTATATGTCACATTATATTTAATTTTAAATATCAAAACTTTAATACCAACCTAAACAGAATAACATACCACTTGCATTAACTGAATGAAATATCATTAGATTGAGTGAGTAAAACTACTGGGTCACGTAAAATTTTAATTGCTTGAACAAAATACATGTATATTCTTAATAAAGGTAACCTAACGATTTTAGTTGTACCTAACAAGTTGGGTCTGACATTTTTAACTTTGTGTTGGACATTTTTAAAAAAAAATATCAACTAAAATGCTGAAAATAGACAAATCTGTGACAGAAAAAATGACAAGCACCAGAGGAACAGTGCCTGACAAAGCCTGAATTTGTTCCTGGCATAGTCTGTGAAAGCTTATTTCAAGGCATGCTCCTGAAACTGCTCTTTTGTTATAAGTCTGCATCTTAATTTGAATGCTCGTTTTCAGTGGGATCATTGTTTCATCTAATCGATTACAACTGACTGATGATCGAATGAAACACATAACTACTAAACAACATATCAGTCAAATGAGTGATGTATTTTTTAACTGAAGTTGAATTTCTTTCAATTATTATTGGTGAGATAATTCTCTACCCCTTTAACTTACAACATGTTTGAGGTTAATATGAGACATCTGTCCTGATGTTATATCTAGTAATGTTAGATCTTCTTGGTTTTTCTTCTTTATAAAATCATTTATAAACATAGTTGGTTTTATCAAGTTTTCCTTGCTGTTATTCTAAATAAAATAAAGGGTTGATTGATTTTAAGAAAATAGGATTGTGGGGAGGTACCTTAACATTAGCCGGAATTGATATAATAAAACTGTAAATTGTAATACCAATAAAGTATCATAGGAAATGTTAATATGGGTCAGATCTAAATGTTAAGGCCACCTGCAGATTTAGTCAAGGTCACGAGATGTAAACAGGGTTGGGCACGTGATTGTTGCCGAGGATTGTGGGTTAAAAAGAAAGGGTTGATTGATTTTAAGAAAATAGGATTGTGGGGAGGTACCTTAACCGGAATTGATATAATAAAACTGTAAATTGTAATACCAATAAAGTATCATAGGAAATGTTAATATGGTCAGATCTAAATGTTAAGACCACCTGAAGATTTAGTCAAGGTCATGAGATGTAAACAGGGTTGGGCACGTGATTGTTGCCGAGGATTGTGGGTTAGCCCTCTTTACATCTCGTGACCATGACGAAATATGCAGGTGGCCTTAATATTTAGATCTAACTATTAATATCGTCAAAAGATTTTAACAATCACTTTAACAAATGTAGTACCCCTCAGCTGAAAGTTTCTGCTTTTTATATTTTGACAGTTATTTAATAACTATATATTTCAAATGCGAACCTTGACAGAAAAACTACTAACTTCTATTCCTTTAAATAATTTGATTCTAGCCGATTCTGCTGTTTCTACCATGGCCATTAGATGAGCTCTACTAACAGGTATATTACTACCCTTAACATCAGCTGCTATATATGACCTATTAAAAAGATATATCATTCATAGAAAAAACAAACATGTAACATAGTCGTGTGGAGGGAATCAACGTGTCAGAGCTCAGAGGTCACAGAGGTAAAAATATGGTGGAGTATGAGCTTTCAAAATGAAATGAATGAGCTTTAATGTGCTACTTTTCTGCACATATGAACTTTCAAGGGAAGGAGGCATAATCTTTTGCATCCTTTAATAAGGGGAAAATTTTTTCAGAAAGATAAGCTATATAAATACAAAGGAAGAAAGATATTCAACTATACACTACAATTTTAGTTGGAGGCTATGTGGTTACTTTCAGAACTTTTTGAGTGATCAAAGCCATTGCGAAACCTTTAACAAATTATTGAACAGTCATAACTCAACGAATAAACATACCTTAACTCATCAGTTAACCATTTTAACACATTCTCGACTTCTAGTAGGTTCTCAGATCTATTACCTAATGCTTCACTTAATATTAATGTCTGGAAGGTAAATATGAACGGAATGGTGAAAGAAGACATATAAAAATGGGTATTGCACATAGTAGATCCTAAAAAAAACCTCAAATCATTAAGTAATGTTAAAGGTAAAATTCCAAAAAGGTGACGAAAGGTGTTAAAGGGGGTACTTATTAAGGTAGGATTGACTGATTTATAAATAATCTGGTATTCAGTCATTCAGATATAATACTTACAAGTCACATGATGATGATATGACACAGGTGAATTAGTGATCTTTACCCCTTACTACTGATACTCATACAAAAATATTTTATTTACAGCCTATGTTTCTATTAATTACCTGTCTTTCTAGTTGAATTATTTGTGCTTTTAGTAAATTTATTCTGCGTTCATCAAATTTCTCTTGACTTGTTTCATTTAAAAGTTGTTCTAACATGGACCTGTATGTGTTGAACAAAATTTAATTATATGAATTATTTATACATAGATTAATCCACTTGCCCATTGTATTCAGATGCAGGAAAAAAGCACAATAAATCTTTTACCATTACATCAGCTATCAATTAAATCACTCCTAGTCCCTATTTGGCATAGATAATCAGGCTGCAACCAATAACAATTAACATCTTTTATTTTATAATATGTACGTAGCAGATCTGTTTATTATATATTTTCATGGACCATATGGTTCACAATGTTTTATATTTCTTATATGAGGAGAGGGGTGATATAGGCTATGGCTATGCCTGTTCCCTGATCCATTTGAAATAAAATATTGTTTACAAAAAATATACATCTTACATTTAAATTAGGTCATTTAGGTCATCTAGCGCAAGCTGAAAATTTGTGGTTACATAAGCTTATTTAAGGTCTCAAAAGTCGAGGCATTATCTTTCATTAATTCTGAAGCATCAATGCTTCCTTTATTATTGCTCATACTTCATACGGTAAGCTTGGAGCAGATATGAAAAACCTTCCCAAAGACAGGTGACCAAGTAACCAAACAAGATACAGTATGCCTGAAAATAGCCCAAATGTGAGTGATTATAAATGTATATATAGTATTTTTCAAATTAGTGTTCATAACTGACCATTTCAGATTGATATTCATAGATTAAATTCACTTACCTCTCATCCAGAAGCTGTAACTTAAGTTTCTTATTTTCTTCCTTTAACTCCTTAAATTAAATCAAAACTTTAAAATTTATTACCAGGACTTCTCACATATTTTACCTAACATAATTGATTACAAATTACAATAAATTTGTTAAAAACTGAATATAAATTACTTTATAATTATATACATTCGTATTACATTAATATGTGCTTTTAGACCCATTTTCGGATATTTTAAGGTTCCAAAGAATAGAGACGCACAATTATGGGGTATCATAATTCACAAATAATATTACTCTTGCCTGCATTTCTCTATCCATCTTCAGTAAGATGGCACTATTACTAGGATTTGATTGATCTGAATTACAATGTAGTACATCTCTCATTTGTAGCCTTCCTCTACTTGACTGTGACATTTTGTTGTCTATTACTATGTATTCTTATCTCTTAATGTAAGTATTTGTTAACTAACCATTGAGTAATAGGCCTAATAATGTTATAGTAATTAAAATGAATTCTAAGCTTTAGACTATATGTATAAGGAATATATATCCCAAGTTTAAAGACGATCCATTAAGAATCGTGGCCTGTAGGCAACACACAGAAACACAAAGACAAAATGGGTGTGGCTCTGTTCCTGGGGGTTGGGCATGCACCAAAAACAATAGGGATCATTCTCAGGGGACATAATTCAGGAAGTTACGATCTGATATGTGCGAGTATCGAAAACAACCAAGATCTTTGGGTTATAAACATGCATTTCAAGTTTCATCAAAATCGGATCAAAATTGTGACCTCTAGTAGAGGATCCACAACCTTGATATACCAGATGTTTACACTATTTGTGTACCGGGGGAGGGGGGGGCATTTTGTCTGGCAGTTTTGGTCCGATTTTCATGAAATTCGAACTCAACCAACATTAGGGTGTAACGGTGATATATTCAAACATTTTTTTTTAATTGGATAAAAAATATCGAAAGGAACTAAGACCTTTGTGATATAAACATAAATTTAAAGAAGCTAAGTCTCTAACTCAATATCATCCAAAACCTTCGACATTGAAAACACGAATTAGTTGTCAATTTTAATCAACATTGGTGTTGTGATCTTACCGGGAAAAGATGGGCTTCTGATATCTATTATTTAAGACAAAATAAACAATTTGTTATAAACGACTCGAAAAATGGTGTTAGACATATTCCACAAGTCATGTCAAACGGTGACGTCATATTCCTATCTGGAGAGCATGCACAATAAATACTATAGGTGTAGACTGAAATAACCAGACGCTAGTGATTGCCATTCGATTGAGACTTCTGGCGTATTTTGTCGAATATAACTGCTTTGAAATTAGAGTAAAAATGGAAACGATTGAATGTAAATCAGTTTATTTACATTCATATTACATTATTATATACGTTGCGACCCATTTGTGTCAATTTGTAGATCCTAAATATTAGAGATTTAGCTCCTTTAAGGTTGCATCAAAATCGGAAAAAAATTGTGGCCTCTAGTGGGTCTACAACCTTGATATACCACATATTTACACCATTTGCATGATACAAGGGGCGGCCATTTTGTCAGTCAGTTTTGGTCCGATTTTCATGAAATTCGAACTCAATCATCATTAAGGTGTAACGGTGATATATTCACATGTTTTTTTTAAATCAGATAATAATTGTGACCTCTAGAGAGACCTCAAGCTAAAAACGCCACTTTTCGTACAGTCAAGGGCCATAATTCAGGAAATTATGATCCGATATGTGCAAATATCGAAAGGAACCAAGATCTTTGGGTTATAAACATGGATTTCAATTTTTATCAAAAACAGATCAAAATTGTGACTGCTAAAGGGTCGACAACATGTTTACATTATTTGCGTACAAGGGACAGCCATTTGGTCCGGCAGTTTTGGTCCAATTTTCACGAAATTGGAATTCAACCATCATTAGGGTGTAACAGTGATAAATTTTTTTTAATTGGATAAACATTGTGACCTCTAGAGGAACCACAAGCTAAAAACGTGATTTTTCGTACAATCACGGGCCATAATCCTGAAAGTTACGGTCCGATATGCGCAAACATCAAAAGGAACCACGATCTTTGGATTATAAACACGCATTTTAAGTTTCATCAAAATTGGATAAAAATCGTGACTTCTAGAGTGTCCACAACCTTGGTATTACATACTTTTGCACTATTTGCGTACAAGGAGTGGCCATTTTGTCTGGAAGTTTCGGTCACATTTTTAAGAAATTCAAACTTAACCTTCATTAATGTGTAACGGTGATTTATTTAAATGGTTTTAATAATTTAATACAAATGATATGTAACGGGTCCACATTAAGTGTGATTTTTCGACAATCAGTTGCCATAATCCAGGAAGTTACGTTTCACAATGGCTGACTAATTCAACAAATTTTGTTTGTGTCTTTGTATCGAACAATTCTACATGAAAATAGTGTTGGATTATTATAAATTTGTGTCGGATGTGGCAAGAAATGATTACTTTTGGCAATCAAAGAAGAATCACAGTGAAAATTAGACAGTAAGGATTCCAAAATAGCCTTAGAACCCAGGTAGGGCAAACGCCTTATTTGCATATTAGTTGTCTTTAGGATCAGCCAGTAACGATGAGAGCTAGCTCCTATCAGACATCGTTACTAAAGTAACTACCAGAAGCCCAACTTTTCACGGTAATATAGCAACATCAATGTTGATTTAAATTGACCAATAAGTCTTGTTTGTCATGTTGATCTCAACTCATATAATAATATAATTGTATATAAACTGATTTACATCCTATTGTTTGTTTTTACTGTAATTAGTGTAATTTCTAATCAGTTATGTTCGGCGAAATACGCCAGAAGTCTCAATCGAATGGCAATCTCTAGCGTCTGATTATTCCAGTCTACACCGATAGTATTTATTGTGCATGCTCTCCAGATCAGAATATGGTGTCACCGCTTGTGGAATATGTTAAACCTCGTTCATCGAGTCCCTTGTTACAAATGGCGCTGAAACGCATTATATGGTACACGATTCGTGTACCAATGGTAAAATGTTTATTTTGTTTTAAATATTGGATATCAGACGCCCATCTTTTCCTGGTAAGATCACAACATCAATGTTGATACTGGTATTTAAAGTAGCTAAGTCTCTAACTCAATATCATCCAAAGTCTTCGACATTGAAAATACGAATTATATGTCAATTTAAATCAACATTGATATTGTGATCTTACCGGGAAAATATGGGCTTCTGATATCCAATATCTAAGACAAAATAAATATTTTAACTATTGGTACACGGATCGTGTACCATAATGCGTTTCAGCGTCATTTGTAACAAGGGTCTCGAAGAACGAGGCTAGACATATTCCACAACTCATGTCAAACGGTGAGGGCATATCCTTATCTAGAGAGCATGCATAATAAATACTATCAGTGTACACTGGAATAACCAGACGCTTGGGATTTCCATTCGATTGAGACTTCTGGCGTATATCGCCGAAAATAACTGATTTAAAATTAGAGTAAAAACAGAAACGATTGATGTAAATCAGTTTATATACATCAATATTACATTATTATATGCGTAATTGCACCCATTTGTGTCAATTACTGGATCCCTAATTAGCAATTTAGCTCCTTTAAATTGACAAATAATTCGTGTTTTCAATGTCGGATTCGGAAGACTTTGGTTTGGACTTATTTATATTTATAGAGAGTGAAGCTCTAAAGCATCGCGCAAAGCGCGGTGCTTGAGCAAAGCTCTTTTCCGGTAACACAGGAGCGTAACTAAATCTGCCCTACGGCCACAGACCGTTGATTAAAAAAAAATAGCAATGCGCATGCTATCTTATTACGCAACTCATAGAAATATTTTTATGAAGCGTTTAATCAATGACGTCACATATTTCTGACGTCAATGAAAATAAATCTCACACTTTTTTGTTCTTTTTTTTTTAAACAAAATTAATCATACAAGTTAGATCTAAATTAAATTCAATTCGGAAAAACAAGATTATTTAACATTACTTGTGTCACTTGAGAAACTTAATTAGGAAGGTTTCATATTAGCAAAATATACACTATGAGTGACTATGTATGTTCATATATTAACAACAATCACATCAGCTTCGCTCTACTCGGGCAATGCCTGTTACTTATAGCTCCTCTAACCTTTGATAATGACTGAACAAGATCTAAAGCAATATCAAGTATGGACCTATATTCTAAAATATAAATGTGTTTAAACAGTGGACGAGTTCTATTAAAAATAAAAGTCTATTTAATTTTCAGCCGCCATTTGTAAACAAATAATGTGGATGCCGAGATCAGTTATTCTTTATCTATTCTGTATATAATGATGATTTGGGCGGAATAAACTACATATATCTTCTCTAATTGTAGATTAGGGTTTGCTTTAAGTTTCAAATCTGGTTTTTTTTTCTATAATACTGAGAGTCAGAAAGTATTATAATATCGGGAGAGAATATCGCCCACCTCAAATAAATGCTCCCTTGATTTAACGGAATTAGCTCCCTTTAGATATTTCGTTCCAAAAAACTAACGCGTTCGGCAATAAAAAATGACCAGTTCGATAATAATAGTTACAATCGATTAAATTTAAGATTAACAATTAAACCCACGATGCTTTCTTATAATGTGTCTTACACATATAACCATGGACTAAATAGGGTTCATGACCCACGATGCTTTCTTATAATAATATGTCTTACACATATAGGCCTATAGGCTAACCATAAAGACTCCTGCAAATTAGCTAAATCGCTCTCCTAAATATTGAGATTAATAAACTACTTTCAGTTTTTATTTACTTTTAAACTGCATATTTAAGGTATCAGGAACTTTTTATGTCTCCCGCACAATTTTATAAACATGAAGGACTGTAACATATTGTCCAATTTTTTTAATAATTCGCTTGCGGGGTCTTTAGTAGTGGCAGGAAACCGCAGGACCCGGAGAAAACCCACGGGGTTGGACGGGCGACCCTACTCCCTGTCACGTACAACTGGGGAACGGAAACCCCGTCAGTCCTATAATACTAGATACGCCATATGCAAAGTATTTATGGTTTTGGGGTTGTGATGATTTATATAGGAGGCAAGGGTATTTTATATTGGGAAAAAATCATTTTAATTTAGTAAAGATAGATTGGCATTATCCAATTAGGAGTGTGGCACTTTGGCATTTTCAGAGTATTATTGAAAGGGTCCATGGGACTGACGTTTCAAATCTAGGCATCGGAAAATTGGTTATTTCGTGTATTAGTTTAAAAGTTGTTAAATACTTTTAAAATTCGACAATACATGTACTTTAGTCTGGATTAATCCTTTGAGTCAGAAATATCACATGTTTGTGACAATTCTCAATAGATTCTGTTATCCAAAATACCATAAAACTACGAAATTCAAGCGATTTAGTTATTATTTCCATTGAAGCCTGTGAGTAAATCAAATGCCAAGGTCACGAAAGCGACATGCAAGTTTAAGGCCAATCAACTGATATATTTCAAACGAATAATACGCAATAAACTTATTTATTTTATGATCAGTAGTGGAATACCGCGTTTTATCAGTGAAATAAAAGTGTTATTCCACTGGCTAGTTGTTTTTACCTAAAATGATTGTAAAATCGCGTGACGTATTTCAATGTAAAGGCACGTGCGGAGTGTCTGTATTTTTAGTCATTTAATGGTCCCGAGCTTAAGACATTGCATAATATATTGTAAAAACACTCGGGCCTACGGCCCTCTTAATGTTACAATATATACTATTCAAAAAAAGTAGGGGATATTTGATTTTTAAGTGTTATTAAAGTCACCTAATGAAACTGACGAAGAAACAAATGACAAAATGAAATGAAGTTCACATTCATCGATTTATTCCAAATGATCGTTAGACTAAGTAAGGCACAGACTGACCATTATAAGGGTAAAATGATACCCGGGGTCAAACAGCAAAGTTACCACAGCATCACAACCAAGTCAGTAACGGGTAAATCCTCCTCTGTTTGCCAAACAAGCATTGATCCGACGTGGCATACTCCTAATGAGACGTCTAAGGTCATTTTGGTCCAGATTGTCCCATTCCTGTTGCAACGCAGCAGCAAGTTCTTGGACATTGGCAGGACGTTGTTGACGTTGACGTAACCTCTGTCTAAGCATGTCCCAGACATGCTCGATGGGGGAGAGGTCGGGACTCAGTGCTGGCCAAGCTAATGTGGTGATGTTCTGTTGTTGGAGGTAACCTGTAACGATCCTGGCCCTGTGACATCTTGCGTTGTCATCCTGGAAGATGAAACGGCGGCCATGACGTCGTGCGAACGGCACAACATGGACTGCCAAGATGTTGTCCCGGTAGTACTGGCCTATAACACGCCCTGCAACAACATGTAAAGCCGTTCTTCCAGCAACAGTGATGCCTCCCCACACCATAACAGAACCACCCCCAAATCGATCATGTCTGATGACGTTAACGTCTTGGAAGCGCTCGTTTCGACGACGCCACACCCTCCTACGTCTGTCCAAAAAATCAACAGTGAACCTTGACTCATCTGAAAACATCACATTGCTCCAGCGTCGATTATCCCAGTGTTGACGATCCCTACACCAACGACGTCTTGCCTGAATGTGATGATCTCTCAAACAAGGGATCACGCGAGGACGTCGGGCGCGAAGGTGACCCCTATGCAGTCGATTCCGAATCGTCTGGCCACTCACTCTCACATCAGTGTCTGTTTGAAGACGAGCGCTGATCTGATTTGCTGTGATGACACGATTTCTCAAGGCCAAGGTACGGATAAATCGATCCTGGGCTTGAGTTGTCGCCCTTGGTCGACCTGAGCGTGGTCTGTCCTGTACAGATTGTGTATCACGGTATCTGGACCATAGCCTGCTTATGACAGACTGAGAAACATTCATCGTCCGCGCCACAACCGCCTGTGTTGTGCCGATCTGTAGCATGCCAAGGGCACGTAACCTTTCATTTTGGGTAAGCCGAGGCATATCAAAATTTGTTTTCTGGTCACTAAAACAATTAAACTGATGTTTCCACCCTGGAATTCAATGCCACAATGACTGTAACATTCAAAGTCAGAGTCGTGCAAATCTTGGGTTGGACCCCCATGATGATCCCAAGCATCACCTGCATTCCACGCGGTAGCTATTGGTGCGTTTGGGCGTCACATGTAACTGGAAATGTTTCTTCTGTTAGGTTCTATAGTGACTTTTTTCGTAGTCATTTACATATTTTAGTATTATGCCCCCAAAATCAAATATCCCCTACTTTTTTTGAATAGTATATTACTTAATGGCTCGCTCTCGACCATTAAACAATACTTAGTGGCGTTCATGAATTATAGCATGGACCTTATATGTATTGGACAGAGGGGAATTTATATCGACACAGTAGGCGTACAGTTACAATTTGGTAATATAATGAAATGAAATAGGGTTTAACACCCTACTGTTCTGCTCCGACTGGGCTGATGAAAACGGGCATACGGTACGCCATAGTGTGCTGTAAGAACATTTTGCCTGAACAGCCTACTCTTAGCTCGAATTCCAAGGGGTCTATCACGTGGACGCCAATCTGTACACGGGCCCTCGTTTTTTCGTCCCATCCGAACATCTAGACAGCTGTCCTTGTCAGGCACTGCACCACTGAAGAGGAAACCACGCAGGAAAATCCCGATAAACTTTCTCGGCCAACACCGGGATCGAATT